TTTGAATTTACTTTATCGGGTTTCTTGAGAATTTATTATGTTTTTGTTATTGCCTTTCAATGACAATAACGTTGAATACTTTATTATGTTTAACTTATTATGAACTTTACATTACAGAAATCATTACTTTATTACATACTCCGTCCGCGAAAAATTAAAAAGTCTTAAAAGTAGCCTATGCTATCTTCCAGACTGTTCTACATATGTGTCAATACGAGATCCAAGCAGTCGTTTTGGACTTACCTTCAAACAAACATCCATGCAAACTTGAATTGTTGTAGTTTTTATTTATCTTGATGTATAGATGGGCGGTTAAGTCAATGGGAGCTATAAAGCTATGTAGTATGTTAGAACAACGTTAATCGAAGTCTCAATCTGTATGAATGAACCAGACATTATCTAAATGATGCAAATTTATAGCCTGAGAGATAACATGTGCGCGGCGCGGGTTGCGTCAGCTTGTTCACTTTACGACAACACCACATTGATAAGTGTTCTAACATTATTACATTCAAATGTGTTACAATAAAAAAGTGTCATAAAACCTCTGGCATTCATATAAACTATTGTAATTCGAGATGTGGGTTTTAGTGTGTATAAATTTATATTATATTTAGTACGCTACAACTATGAGGAATGGCGGACCTCGGATGTGGTGACAGGCGGAAGCGATAAACGCAAGCCTTAATATAGTATAAATCACGAGCAGAGCTGAAAACACTGAAGATAACTTATAATTCATAGCATAGACAATTTCTCAGATATTTTTATCGTTTATTATTTTATCCTAGAAATGTTTATATTTTACTGTTGAGCCTAAAATTTACGCAAATTATTGAACTCTACTCGAATATACTCAGGCTAAACAATTGTCCATGGAGAGCAAAAAAACATGGTAATAGGAAGCATCGCGACTCAAAACTATCAATCCCACCTTGGGTTGTATGTTTTTCTCTAGATAACATCGTGTCTTTTGTTATTAGCCGCTCGGTTACCTATCAGCTTGTGCACTGTGCCCTAGGGTTTATAAAGCAGTTGTGTGTGTCGCTCACATCGGGTGTAAAATCTCATGAATGTAGCATTAACTGCCGTTTTATGAACCGACCGATTTCATTCGGCGTCGAATGACTACGGTCCTGAATACACGGCTCTAACTTTATAATATACAATGTTACAGAATTAAGCATACTGAATTTTTGTAATAGGTTTTAAATTGCTTCAAATGTTGAGTAGAAGAAAAAGACTAAGTATTTCTGTTAAATACATAAACTTTAGGTTATAAGTTGTTTAAACTTAAGGAAACTTATAAATAACTTGACCTTTTGTTACTTGACTAAATCTTACATTTCTTCGTATATGCATACCAAATACAGGAAAAACCATTTTATTATTTCAAAAAAATCACAGGTTAGAATCTATGAAACCCATTTTCCTTATAATTTTCCTTTTACACTTAAAGTTTGTGACATGATTATCTTATATTTGACAGGGAAAATGCTTATTATATTTAATATTTAAGTTCAAAGAACAACAGCATGTATGTATGTGACGGTCGCCATTCGCAGTAAATAATATATTAACATAATAAAAGAAATATAAATTGACTATTGTTTGTTAAATTTAAATTCAGTGCGAGTATCGATATTTGATTTATGTACAATTTGTAAGGAGGTACAGCCGTAAATAAGAATGTACTATGATATCATAGACGACAAGACAAATGCATTTGTTATTTAATTCAAATATGGTAATTAATAATAAAATTGCATCAATTTCTGTGATAAACATAACGAAAAATATTATTAATTTGATAAAAGTAATGGTTAATCAAAAAATGAACAACTAATATTTACAAACTCGTGTTCAAAATATGTACTTATCTGTTCGGGTTTGTTGTTTTTTATGTTATTAACAGAGATACGTATAATTAACATCATTTATTTATAAGTGAAACAACGCTAATGTAATAAAATAACCGACTACACGGGATGTCTCAGTTTAACCACCCAGGAGACAGTATTAACTGAACGTCCAGTACAATATAAATCAGATGCCCCCTACGCGTCGCTCGGATCTCCGCGAACAGGCTCTGACAACTGTTTTATTGCCTACAAATACGTCAATCCCGTGCACAGATAATTTATTTTATTGCCACCTAAAACGTTAATTTACAACTCAAATGTTTATTTTACGAATCGTTTTCAACTGTTTTATTATTACGTTTAATTATAGCCGACGCGGCGAGAGGTCCGCGACGCGCACGGCTTGGAATTCATTGGATTCTTTACATGCCAGTATGTAAAATACAAATATTAAGCCACATACTTAAACAATTTTAACTAAATAAGAATTTGTTAAATCATTTCAACAAATATTAAAATTAAAAATATAGTAGAACTTTATTAATGATCATATCGAATGTAGCTCAAAGTAAATAGGAGGAAACATGATAAAAAAAAATCCAAGACTAATAAGAATTTCTAATCAAATCAACTTTACTGAAGATATTTGCCGATAGAGGCGTCAACAGTCACCGGTCACGGTGGCCTACGCTGCGGTCGGCAGTAAAAATTCACCGAACGTCAGCGGAACGACTCTCTAGGCTGTTATTGTGGGCCGCAGACCCCGGCCGAATGGTAACTGGTTGATTATCGGGGAGGCGAACGGTCTTAGGAAAGTGTCGGCCGATTGTGCAATACCTGATAATAAAGGACGATTTTCATGTCGAATCCTCATTTTGATTCTAAACGATATGCGTTAACTTGGAATTAACCTTGTTTAAATTGCTTTTCGATACAAGTTTCACATAAAATATTCGGTTGAGGTTCAAAAACAATATAATATAATAGATTCCTAAATGTCCTTCATTCTTTACGGATAAGGAAATCTTTATTTTTTTAAGTAAATCTGAGTACAGGCAGTACAAACAATGCAAAATAAACGTAGTTATTTATCCTTGGTAACCAAAACCATGGTTTTCCTATATTGAATAAGTTCTCGGTCTTATAATTTTATGTAGTCTGTATAATACATCTGTACGTGCGATCAAGACACAAAAATAAGCGAATATCTTCTACGGTCCTAATATAGTCATGTTAATAGAACTATCAGGGTCAGAATGTGTACCATACATATGGTCCAAATTCCGAGTGACCCTGTTCTTACGTATCAGGATTTCATTTTAGCGGAGCATAAGTCAATGCCATGTTCCTCATTAACAAACAATATTTGTTTAATCGCGCACGTCGACGTGGGTTGCGAACGACAATCACCCTCACGCCGCCGGCATACCAATGTGCCGGACCACCGACAGCGACCGACACTGCCACCCTGAATCTTAACAATATGTAGTTTTCCTGCGTCATGTCACACACGAAAGTGAACGTCGCTGTTAAATTCTTTATATTTCATTATGTACTCGTATTTTGGAATTATTCAAGAGGCACAACTACTATGGTCTCTTTTTATTTACATACATATCTTAGTAATATTATAAATACGAAACTTTGGATCGATGGATGTTTGATTTTGCTTTTGTTGGAAGGTATCACCAAAATGGCTGCACAGATCTTGGTAAATTTTAGTATAGATGGAGAACTGAACAGAACATCGTCTGGAAGAACACATAAGCTTATATTATTCATTTATTCCACGCGCAGGGAGTCAATGAATAAAGTACAGTATGTTACAAAATAATACAACTACAAATTATCCACACTAAACAGTCCTGTGTCGCTCTCAACCAGAAAAATACAGACTATGTATAATCAGCTGGTACAATATCGAAGCAAATGGCCTTAGCTGTCTACAAATGCAAAAATGTAGTAATATATTATAATACCCTTTGGTTGTTTGACAAAGGCCCATGCTAATTATGCTATCGCGTTATCGTGAGCTCTTCGCATCAGCAAGCACCGGCCACCCAGGCGGCCGGATCCGATACAGATCTGATGTGAGCAGCACACTGGGGAATGCATTGTCTGTACTACGTGTAACTAATAGGAATAAATCAGCGCAAGTCTGACATGAACAAAGAACGATCAGGCGCTGTCTTACATCCGTATTCTTAACCGAACTTAGTTTAGTTAACGTATTTCCTGTTCACGTTTCAATTACAATATTAGTGAATCATTCGCTCATAATTATCTGTCTTTAAATCTTAACATATATGTTATCTATATGGCTATCCAATTCTGTCTCTATGGTGCTGAAATGCAGTCCCATGACCTTTATTTACAACACATTAAAAAAATCCATGAAATCTAGATAAATTTACTCTCCAAGTGTTATCGATTATTTTATATTGTATTGTTAGTCCACAGACCCTTTTATAACCGTTCTTAACCTTTTCTTGCCCACTTGTCTCTAACAATAAACTCTATTTGTATCTCACATGTACGTACACGTTGATCACTCAGCATAAAAAAAGATCAATAAAGCAATCAGTGGCGGGTGTTATTCATCAGAAGACGTCGGCCGGCGGAAAGAGGGCGCTGACGGATTCATCTCATTGATCTGATCGTCGCGACTCATTTGAGTGTCATGTGCAATTGATCGCAGCCGTCGGGTGGCAGGAGCAAGGGGGGCAGAAGCGAGAGTGGGGGGGGACAGGATCGTTTCATCTCCGCCGACGTCCCACCGCTGCCGCCTCATTGGTTTTGTTATATTTGAACGCTGTTTACACTTCAATATGCTGGCCACATAGGCTTACACATCAGTACCATACCATTCATTCCAATTGTGTGGAATGGAGATTTGTTTCTTTCCTCATTAGTTTTCTCATATTGTATTATAAAATATGTAAATTACCATATGGCTATGTTCCTGGGTCTTTTGACTTATTAATGTCAAATGATAATTAGCTGCATATCCTGTGCACATCAGGAAGTAATACCAATACAGTTTAGTAGACATCAAAGTAAAATTACATCATAAAAAATAAGTTAAAAACAAAACGCAAAAATAAAATACGAACTTTAATAAATAAGCTGTCACATGAATTGAGCACGTCCAGCCACTTTATCGAAACTAATAATTTCTCTGATAAATATAACACGATGCCAACATTAATCTTGCAATAATTCAATACGCCAGACAATATTGATGTTCACATGCCTTTCTAATTTACAACTATTAAGCTAAAACTTTTTTTATTGTTTACCATTTGTTATTCTATTTTTATTACTTTATTGATTGCCTAATTCTTTTTTATTATACATTAACCTTTGTCTGCAGAATAAAGAAATAACGTACTTTCTTGTAACTAAGCATTTGCATTTCTGGTATACTTACTAACATTAATAAATACTGACAAATGGATCAAAGTACTATAGATCTTAATAGTAATAAGCCTCTATAAATGAAATTTATTTAAGACACTGTGTCTTTTAAATTACGCCCTTTGGTTTCTTGTAAAGGCAAACAAGAAAGAGCGCCTACAAATAACATACCAGCAAAGACTACAGAAGGCACCCATTGCGGTTTCAAATTAGCAATAAAAGGCGCTACCATCGCTCCAAACTTGGCTCCAGTAGATGTCAACCCAAATGCCATATTACGCAGTGGCGTTGGAAATAACTCCGACGCATAAATATAAGTGACCGTAAATATTGAACTTACGGCACCGAATCCTATAATTCCTAAAATAGTGGCAGGCCAGTAATAATCCTCGGCGAAAATGAGTAAAATCATAACAATTCCGCCAAGTGTAAATATTCCAAGTGAAGCTATCCTACGGCCTAAATATTTGTTGATTATCCAAGAACCAAGACTTACTGGCATCTGAAAAAAATGGTGTAATTAAAAAGTAATTTTGATAATATTAAAAAATATCGATAAGGAAAGTTTTTCTTCTATACTAACCTGTATTAAACCCAACACTACAACAGCGACGTACAAATTAGAACCCACGAAAGTCATGTACTGGTTGATGCCAAAGAAACAAGTGCCACTGACTGTCCACGCTACGAAAATACACGTCGTGTTGATGGCCAACTCCTTAGTCTTGAATAAATCTAAATAAGTCGTATTAACTACTTCTTTCTTGTTTATTAACTTTTCAGCGCTATTCTTGATTATTGCTTCTATATTTTCAGTACTCAGTTTGTTGCTGGGGATAAATAACATAAATGTAATCATCGTAACTTGTTTTATAATTATTATTGTTAAAATATATTCACCGTTGTGCAGCTTTTGTTATAATTTGTATAGCTTCGTCGATTCTTCCTCGTGAAATCAACCATCTAGGTGATTCTGGTATAAATAAAATAATTATAAGAATAAAAATCGAGGCTACACTGTATACTAAAACGTATATATTCCAATTTGGTGAATAATACGCGAATATTGATAAAGAAGCTTGTGCCAATGCGTCTGGCTGCACGAGAACGCTACTCGCTGCCTCGCGGTGGCTTTTGCTTATAATTTCCATTACTATAACAATGCATATAATGAGGGTCCCGCCAGATGCAATGCCGGTGATAAGTCTAAAGATACTGAATGTCCAAAAGTTTGGAGAAAACGGTGTTGCCAACATAAATATCACATTAATAAGTACCGACGCGACTATACTGTTGCGACGACCAAATCTGAAACAAATATACCAAATATGTTACAACTCAAGCTGGACACACGAATTATTAGCTTATTTCCACCATTTTAATTAACAGTAAAAGCGGTAGCCTCGTTAGGCCCGGTGACAGTGGCCAATATTAAGGTTACTTCTGTGATAAAATACTTTCAAATCTAATTAGGCACAAAAAATACGAGGCATGATCAGACACCTACACTACGACAAGAATTTTGTAGCACTGTATTATCATTGCTAGGAGGGCGCTATTGTGCTATTATAATTCATCATCATCAGCTCACTATACGTCCCCCCACCGAGGGGCTCGGAGCCTACCCTAAATTAAGGGTGATTAGGTCGTAGTCAACCACGCTGGCCAAGTGCGGGTTGGTTGACTTCTCACATATCTTTGAACCTCCTCTCAGACATGTGCAGGTTGCATCACGATGTTTTCCTTCACCGTAAGAACGTCGGATAAATGTACATATGTAAATCGGAAATAGAAAAACACATTGGTACATGGCGGGATTCGAACCCAGGACCTGCAGATTGCAAGTCAAGTGCTTGAAACCTGAGCCACCGACGCTATTATAATTAAGATTCACGAATGGTAGTAGGTTTGTCGAAATATACTATAATTTACCTGTCTGATATCCAACCAAACAAAAATGTCCCAACAAGAAATCCCAGCATTAAAACTGACTGTGCCATACTAGCCAGCCATTGTCTGTCGCATATCAAATTGTAATCAGATATCAGAGTTGTTTGTAATCCTTGATTATGATATTCATATTTCATACAATCATCATAACATGTATTAGCAGTTTTATTTCCAATACCTTTGAATTGTATGCATTCGAATTCTGTATCGGGTGTTAGAAAAAATATCGCTGTCATGTTCCACATGACAATGAATCGTGTTAGAGCTGTTGCTCCACAAACTGCAGCTTGCCATAATCCAAATGTACCAATGGTCTTTGTTAAATAATCCTCTGAGTCTATAGATGTTTCTTCTTTATGTTTTTCTTTATTTGGACATATACTAGATAATATATTCTTCATTTTAAATCGAATACTACGTTCCTCTTCTTTGAACCTGGAAAAATAATTCATATTTTAAATTGAGTTCCCATAAATTTTGCAAATTAATAAACGGTCGTATATTTTGATTGCGTTGGTTAAGAAGTTTTATTTTTTCACAGCACCAAGGGACCGCAGACCTGAGTATTTGATATAAATTGCAGCTTGATACCTTCACGCGTTTTTGAGAAAAAGGGTCTTGACAGACAGACGGACGGACAACAAAGTGATCCTATAAGGGTTCCGTTTTTTTCTATGATGTACGAAACCTTAAAAATGGACTTCGCGGTTACTGATTGAGCTGAAATTTTGCACACATATGTAAATTGCATGACAATGCAATATTATGATGACACGGTGCTCATCTGACGATGAATCTGAAAGATGGCTACAGGAACTACGTAATGAAATTACATAACCTCATTGAGTTTGGGCTCGTTTAAATCGTCTTAACGAGTAGTTTGTTGTAAAATGTTTAGTTGCTTTGATTAACAAGAACGTAATAAAAGCTTGAAAAGAATAAATAATAATACGATGTACTTTTCATATATTATACATTGTTATTAATCAATTTAAATTTGAATAGTCAAGAAAGAGCAATTCACATTCCTGAGAACATTATTTTTAGATACTTTTACGATATGCGATATTTTATTCTGTTTCTTGATAAAATCTTCGATTAAAATATTGGCAGTAAAATATTGTATTTACAAAAATACATAAAAGTTTAATAGAATAATTTTTTATTGTAAATTAGTTAAAAACTAAATATATGGTATGTTAAATTACTATAAATGAAGATTGATATAGCATTTAAGAAACTATTATAGCCACGAGGTAAGAGTTATAGACCTTTGGTATACTTATTTCCGTTGCTTTCGAACAAAACACACATATCGCTAATACTCTCGTTCTCTTTGAATAAATAGATATAAAAATGTTCTATAAGTGTTTTGAATGTTAAATCGTAGTTATCTCGGTTCAGTCTCGTTTGCAACAATTGAAAGGCAATCAAGTTCACCTCGTTGTGTTAAAAGCGACAGAAAATCGGGTAATAACACGTCAGAGTACAGCCGATAATTCACAGCACTTTGAAACTAAAATCACTCGGTGAGTGAGTAATGGCCGACAATATATTATTTTCTTTCTCAATTATGACACATGTTAAATTGGACACATACATTTTTAATAAACAACTTGGGAAAAGTTAAGTAAAAGCAAATATGATACAGTTGAAGATAGCATAACTGAGAAATTTAGGCATCAATTATTTTGTAGTACACTTATTTAAATCAAAACGTAATATTCTCTTCCTTTTATAATACTTTTTATGCAATATAATAAATGATTAACTTATAAAACTGTCTTAGCATAAGAAAAGGAACAAAAGGTATAGATAATCACGTCGAATAACACTGTTCTTGGGCTAAGATTTATCATCAACGCCCCAGCGCCTCGGGCAGCGTCCTGTAGCCATTACGATGATTTGCCGAGTCTTGTCGGATCGTAATTTTGTGCGATATAAAGTGATTGCATAGTACCCGTTTTGATTCATATCTCGGATATTAAATCATTCATAAGAGCATTTACAGGGTGTAGCCTAATAAAAAATAGTACGTTGAATTTATTGTAACACAGTCATCGTGTCAGAACTCACATCACCCCTTGTAAATGCCTAAAATTTTTTCAGTAAAAGTAGTAAAAAAGTTTAATATGTAACAAAGTATTAAAGAATTAAATTCAAACTTACTTTAAAAATCGTTTTACCCGATCATTTCACTTAACGCATAATAAATTTAAGGAAAAGCTTTACTTTTTCAATTTCCCGCTTCAGAATAAGGAGGAAAGAAAAATACGAACTCACTCTGTGTACTTTTTTCTCAGCGCCTCGTAAATATTTCAAAGGAGTTTTTAATCAGTCGTGAAGCGATTTACAAATTAAACAGAGCCCGTATTATGAAGAAATATAGCGACATTCGCTTTGTTTCCATTGGCAAAATATTTTTGCAACGTTAGTAAATGTTGTTGTGCCATGTCGAGTGGAGAATTATCCCAATGATTCCCAAGTCTGAAATTTAATCAAAAAAATATATTTTTCTTAATATTTTGATCAATAATTTTTTAAAAAGACATAATATTTTCGAGGTTTAACCATTTAAAGTACTTAAAGGGTCACCAAAGGTAACATTGTTAAAACGATATTGAATTCTTCAGTAACAAGCATACAAAACACAAGTGACGTATCGTTAGTAACAATGGAAACGCGTCACAAATAAGAAATATAACCGGAAAGGATCTCTCCGCAAAAAGCTCGCAAATTTCGTCATCAATTATCATTATGAGAGCGCGAGGCGAGCGGAGACGCCGTCTAATTGAGTTTTACAAATGGCGTCTGCCGACGGCACGTCATAAATACGTAACGACTTGACGTACGTCAAACTGACTTGACGTGCCGTGTCACTGTCGAGTGTGTAAATTAAGATTGCTTTAGAGGAGTTTATTTTTACATTTAATATGATTTCTATAGACGATTTCCTTAACAATAAAATTAAATATTTATGTTACAAATCACAAAAGGAATTAATGTCTGTTCAACAAAACGCCATCAATAAACTGGAACATGAGAACTGTTTCGGAGTTTTATTGACGCAATAACTCTTTCCTATAGCGAACGTTCTCTTTCAAATCTTCGTCTGCAAGTTGCACATTTTATAAATCTACTTTAACTTTATCAAGTAACCTATATTTAAAAGTAAACGTGACTAGAATTGAAAATCAAACTAATGCTATGAATAATAATTGCCAAAAAAAGTTGAGTAAAAAATTATAACTTTAAAACGCTGGAATAAATGAGTAAACTTCCATATTAATTGACAAGTAACTGTGCTGTTTTTATTATTTTGATCCTTTGAAACCCAAAATAAATTCCTGACCTAACTGACTTTTTAATTCAATGGTGATTTAATAAAAGAAATGCTATAAAAATACTATAAATGCGGTAATAATCATGAGAAACATTGATATCCGCCGCCCGGAGCCATCTCAGTTATCAGTCGCTCGACGGCCCCTCACAATAATCGTTAATTTTAACTGCTGGAACAATAACAGTTTAATTTACAACGTTATAACAGTTAAATGGAAGGACAAGGTGTCTTCGCAGCAGTAAATCGGGCGACGGGCGCACCGATAACGCCCCTGACCGGTATAATTGTGACAAGTTGCCGAGATATCTCCTCGTAATGGTTATCGAGTTGCGCACAGCGACATCTCGCGGAACAACGCTGCACTAATTGTAAGTAATCATTAGCATGGATAAATTCACCGTAGGTTTCTGAGACCAAAAACTCAGTTTAAAAAATATCACTGTTTTGTCAAAGGTGTCGAAAATTACGATGTGTTTTATACAGGTTGATATTGTTCAAAAACATATTCTGATACCTCGTGCCTGGAAAGTAGCAATTAACACAGAGTCTAGGTTTTTTAGGACATTACTTCAAAATCTGAGTTAATAAATCATGCCATAAATAGAACATAATTGATCAAACTCTTCATCAAACAGCCGAGCTCTTAAACAAAAGAACCGTAAGAATGAACAAATAGGGCATTTATCAACAAACGAGAACAAAAGGAGAGCAGTCAGATCCATCAGGAGAACAATAACTTAAAACAAATTAATAAACGGCATTTGGGAACAGTTGCGTGGAAGCATCAGGCCCTAATTAAGAACAAAGTGATATTTTGTTTGGAGAAAAAAGGCGTTATGACAATGAAAAACGAGCTGTAAGGGTGTATTCTTTGAAATTAATTCTTAAGAGGCAACAATTTGTCTTCGAGATCAGTCAGGGCTGACAACACGGAGGTGTTGCAATAATATTGAACATTAAAAATATAACTCCGCCGTCTTCATGTAGCTATATTCTGAATTATGTTTCAAAGAATCATACTGCCACTAAATTTAAATATAGTTAAATCAATATTTATTCAAAATTTATTAACTAACGTTATGCAATAAAAGTACAAAATGTATGTCGTTAGTATATTAGAGTAACATTATTTTTCTTACAATTTAATATACAAATGCTTAGACTTCTGACGACCTTTGTTATACTGTGTGTCATGTTAATTAGCATGTGTTAAGTGTGTTAATAAAATAAAATAATTGTGAATACGAGTGTAGTGGCAACCCTAGGATAACAAGATTAAGAAAGCTCGTGAAAAAAACGGCGTAGAAATATACGCCTTAATAGCTTAACTTTTCATCTGGCGCAGGAATTAACAAGCGCCTCTCAGCGGCGGCGTAAATAAACAGTGATTAATTGCAGGCATTCATCCGAGAGGCGGGCGAGCACGCGGGCGGGAACGCGGCCGCGATTTGAACGACCCTCCGTCTCAACAACATTAACACTGTCTATTTAATCACTTCTAATTTTGTACATGTTAAAAAAAGCAATTACTATAAACACTTCAATATAAAATAACCTTCTTATAGATTAGACAATATCTGTATTGACAAAGGTATTTAATTCGTCAACTTTAGAAGCATGTTGACATTAGAAAACTTACGAACTACTAGACAGGTTCATCATCATCATCATCATCATCATCAGCTCACTATACGTCCCCACCGAGGGGCTCGGAGCCTACCCTAAGTTAGGGGTGACTAGGCTGTAGTCAACCACGCTGTCCCACTGCGGGTTGGTTGACTTCACACATATCTTTGAATTTCTTCTCAGATATGTGCAGGTTGCATCACGATGTTTTCCTTCACCGTAAGAACGTCGGATAAATGTACATATGTAAATCGGAAATCGAAAAACACATTGGTACATGGCGGGATTCGACCCCAGGACCTGCAGATTGCAAGTCAAGCGTTAGACCACTGAGCCACCGACGCTCCAGGACTAGACAGGTTATCAAAGTCCAAAAGTAAATTAACTAATCAATGAAAAGAGTAACATAAAGCTACGCGTTTATTAATTAAAAACATGATAAGTATTTTGTCAAAGGAATAAACCA